GGTAGCTATATTAGCAGCTGTTCACCCATGCCTGTCTCCTGAGGTGCCTTTTAGGTGATCCCTGCTTGTTTTGGTGACTACTGGGCACTGGAATATCCCAATTGAAAGGGAAGTGGCTCAATTACCAAATGTATAGTGTTCAAGTGTTAGGTCATAGCGAAGAATTCAGCTTGTAAGCATTGTTGGTGTTCTTTGATGCTGCTGAAGATTATATAGCAGGGCCTTGAAGGGGTTGACAGGAGTGCATCACATAACCTATCTTAAACAGGTGTTTTGTATCTTCTCTATCTTATCTAGTTGCGTAGCACTCAAACTTATCATTGGTAGTCCATCATTCGGGTTTGAGCATACAAGATGCCAAAGTGTGGAGCGATAACGAGACGCGAACCCTTGAATTTACGCTAACCACTAAGCCATGCATAGTCCATTTTACTTCTAAAATTTTACATTTATTTCAGTTATACTTATCCACCTACAGATTCGCTATCAAATAATCTAGTAAAGTAGACACTATAATAGTAGGCTGTAGAAAAGTTTTTATACATTTTAATTATTTTTATCCCAATGGCACAGCGGTATGTCTATGGACTTAAAACGCTAGAAACCAGGTTTCGATACCCGTGGTGGGCAGAGCACAGATAGCCCTTTGTGTTTAAATTCAAACAAACAACCAAACTATACCAATATTTAATATGTACGAGATTATACAAATACGATAACTAAAGGAAAGAGTTAATAGTTTAGCATTTTGCCAAATTTATCTTGTTGAATAATAAATACTAACTCAAGTTTTCTACACTGGTCTCCTGAAGATGGCGGAATTCTTTCCACCGAAATGCCCCCCAGTAGCACAGTGGTAAGTCTGCGGACTGATACTGCTAGAAACCAGGTTTCGATACCCGTGGTGGGCAGAGCACAGATAGCCCTTTGTGTAGCTTTGTGCTTAAAGACAAACAACAACAATCCACCAAAACCCCCCTCCAAACCAATGATTCATTTGCTCGGATACTACATAATAGGACATCATTATTCGGCAATTCTGGTTCGCTTTAGTTGAAAAGTTCCTGCCCAGAGACTAAATAAAATCTATTTTTTCACGGAAAGTAAGAAGTTAACCTTTCACATTTATTCTTATATTTGTTATTATCTACAGATTTTATATAACAAGCCTCCCCTGCGTCAGTGGAAAGTCGAAGGTTTATAACCCTGACCTACTAGGGACCTCTACAAAATCAAATTTACATGTATATTATTTTTTTTACACTGACTATCGAAATTATTATGATCCCTCACACATATCTAATACAGGTTGGAGTGACTTGAATCCTGGACTCAGGGTGGCATAAGTCCATTTGTGGAGAAGTATGGTTCACAAATGTTGGCAAAGGATTACTGTGGCAAAGGTGACATTCAAGTTCATACCAAAGATGATGAATCCAATTAAATGTCCCTCCATGGGACAGCTGTAAGTCTACGGTTTTACAATGCTAAAATCCGGGATTCGATTTCCCGCGGTGGATATAGCAGATAACCAATGTGGCTTTGCTCTAAAACAAACAAACATCCAATTAAATATTTGTAATGGTCAAGAACGTCGACTGAGGTTTGCTACTACGTTTTCCCAACCGATTAAAGTCAATACCAGTAAGTGTAATTTTTGCATTATTGTCTTGAAACACATTAGGGTGAAAATGTACCATTGAAAAAAGTGGAAATGAACAAAAACAACATTCAAGTACACTTTGAATGTTACACATCCTTTTTCTTTTTTTTTCCGAGTCCCGCCGCGAGAACGCTTTCATAAATTACTTCCAGCAGTTCAACATATTTAGAGTTAGTCGAATTCTGACAACTGCTGAAGAAGCTAATCAGTTGAGGCATGGCCTGACGTCTCATGCTCCTTAGAAATCTATCCAATCGTTTTCTTTGGCTCAATCACTAGTGATTGGTGATCGCAGTGACTGGTGGATCTGACAACTGCTGAAGAAGCTAATCAGTTGAGGCATGGCCTGACGTCTCATGCTCCTTAGAAATCTATCCAATCGTTTTTCTCTGGCTCAATCATTAGTGTTTGGTGATCACATTGACTGGTGGATTGCTTTTCGACTGCTACTGTTGATATGAACCTGATAAAAAACGTCTTTGAATAGCTAACCAAACAAATCGTTTTATTAACAATGCTCTTGCTAGAATGATACCCACTAATTTTCCCCTTTAATTAAAAGATCCTTACTCTTACCTATTTTCTTAGAGACCAACCATGACATCAAATATTTCTTCGTAAGTAAAAAAATATGATAAATTACATTACGAGTCTTATTTTAATATGTTCCAGACATGTTTGTATGTGTGTGTGTGGTCTTAACAAAGAGGGTTCTGAGTGTAGTAGCAGAAAGCGACATTATTAGCAAGTGAACAAGGTATTTTACGGGTTTATTGTGCATGTGCCCTTACTTCACAACCCACTGTGTGGAACTGTATTTTTATATATATAGAACTATATTGAAACTACTTATTACCTGTACAATATATACAATGCTAGTTTTTAACCTAACTTCTGCATTCCTCTGAACTATGAAAAATCATAAAACATCAAGTTACGAAGTGGATTCCACGTGAAAGGTCTGAGGATTCATAACAATAAAAACCGGATATTGAACTTGCAGTGGGCACAGTGAAAACTACCAATTATGTGGCTTTTTGTTTAACAAAACGAAACGAACATATAAAAATGATTCGCGAACATAATAAGGCTAAAAAGTTGTAATTCACTACGTCTTTCGTAAGAAAAAATAAAAAAGTGAAATAAATAGTTTTTGTATAATAAACAATAACAAGCTTCTAAATGTAGAACTATGACGAAGTTGTAACTATTTCCAACAATCGACAACTTAATCTATTATTTTATTTTATCAAGCAAGTCATAGAAAGAAAAAAAAATTGAAAAAAATTATATGTTTATAGCTCTAAAAATCCAAAAACACTTGGATTATATTATTACCAGACCCAAATGAGACAGAATTCTGAATGAAAGTTTGAGGATAGATGAATTTCTATATGGTTCTGAAAATTGAGAATATAGTGGTTATTTAATTTAAGAATTAATTCACACAAGAGCTATCTGCAATAACCGCCCCTAATTAGGCGATGATAGACTAGAAAAGGCAACTAGTCAACGAATAGTGGAATTGACCATCACATTATATCGTTCCCACGGCTGAAAGGGCGAGAATTTTTGGTGTAGGGGATTTGAACCCGCGATCCGCAGATTGATAGTCGAGCACCCTATCCACCAGGACCCAGATTAAGTTTTGCAAAAGCTACTTGAGGTACTAAGAATGTTATAAATTGGACTTTGGGGAATGTGATGGCCGTTAGCTCTTTTTATCAAATTATACATTATAAATACTGGTTGAATATCATTAGACTGTCTTCAAACAGAAACCAATACTTCAAAATAAACTGTTGGAAAGCTTTGTTGATTTTGTTAGCATTTCCAAGATGTACATTAGGCTAAAAACCAGAAGAACTGGAAATCGCACAACATTGCTAGTAAAATGCAATAACACAAAATCACCGTAAAAACATAACATTGGAATACAAACAAATTTATCTAGCGAGGTTTCGAGCAACCGCTCTTCATCAGACTTGATTTATTTTTCATATTCAGCCCGAGTATGAATAGTTAGTTACTCTAAACGTTGCCAGATAAAATAAATGTTTCTATTTCAACATTATGATTTTACAGTGGTTTTATTTTAAAAGAAAAAACGTTGATGCAGCTACATTTACATTAAACTGTAAATCTCCTATAACAAGTGTCTTAACCCTTAAAGAAGTTGCTATGTTACATTTTTAAATATCAAAGCTCCTTCTGACCGTTGAGTCAATGCTGAAGAATTCCCGAAAGTTAAAGATCATGGAAGATTTTTTTTATTTTTATAAAACTGACCCAAAAATTAAGTAAAATGCAAATGTACGTGTATATATGTATACATACACATTCACCTGTTTCTTGGTTTACATGATTCAATGATTTAAATAAATAATGGAGGACCATTAATAAGATTGTAGAGGCTATGACGTCGAGGCAAGAAAGGCCGCTCTTCATTGATTTGGAGGTCGAAATATCAAAAATCTAGGCTTTGTGAGAATGAAGCAAACGGCCCTTTCTCAGGACGACGGGGATATATGAATCCTATAACATAAACACCGACATCCTGGTGCCCTTTTCCGATTGGTTGGCTGCAAGGAGAACGTGATGCATGATGTGCAATTTGTGCATTTTTAGGGAGAGATTCTAATCATTCGTTCCAAATTTAGAAGACAGCTTTGTTTCTTGACCAACACGAGAGTGAGAAAATGCGGTAAAAGTCCAGTCATTATATTAGTACTTCTGTGCACATTTTAAATTTATTTTAATTCCATTTTCTGTTCTTAGCTTTGAAGCCATGTAACATAATTGTAGGTGTGTTTGAAACTTGTTTATTAAACCTGTTGAATAATGTTACAAATATTAGAAAGCTTTCTCTGTCAGTTATAAGTAGTATAGCAGAAAATAACTTTATCTAGCTAATCCTTGTTAGAACGCTTTTGTTTTTCAGTTCAGAAATACTTTTGCAGTCGTTCACTAGCTTTGCAAAGTTTAGTGTATACATAACGTATTTACAGTTTGCTCAAGTACCAAACACGTTGTTTCAAAAACGCAACTTTGCCCATATACATCAAAAAATATTAGTCATCCTTTCAAATGGACAGTCTCCTGTAACCTCTTTGGTTTATAATATCAAAATACCATGCTAAAATACACAATTTATTAACACCACGTAAATATTGTGTTAATTTATCAATAAGTATCACCACATACATCAGAACACTGTTGTGCTGATTCGTCAGCTTTGTTGAACTTAAAAAACATTCCACTGTACTTTAGAGCAATCTGATACAACCATAATTAAGGTGTTATTGTGTTGTTTATTTTAACAAATAACGCCATGAAATTACCAACAAGAAAAAAATTATTTTTTATTACAGACAAGCTGCTCTGAGCACATTTTTGGACAACCATATAGAACAGAGCTGACCAGATATGACTTCCTTCTGAGCCATTTCATATAAATTTTCTCAAGTGAAATAACAATATGTAAAAATTTTTAAACCCTTTTACATCAAACTGATAACTTCTTGGACTTTATAGTTTTCATATAATGTCAAATAAAATAATTTTTTTATCATTCATGGATATAATAATATATGAACATGACTTTTAACAATATCAAAATATGTTGATTTTTGACCATTTCCATAACAGATTCAGTATTTTACACCTTATTTATAGAGCCATTATGAAAATAAGTAACAGCTTATTTAAGTTCTTAAAGATTTGGTGTAAATGAATAATTTAGCAACACTCTTTATCAATATCATCTGGTAGTTGAAAAATATGAAGTTCCAGTTTATTGTAAAATACTGGCAGGTCTCTATTGGAACCAAAAAGCCACATTAAAACACATCAACAATAAAACAACTACAACCTACAACTGCTAATTTGTCACAGTTAGAAGAAAAAACAAACAGTGATTCAGACAACCCAATAAGAAATTTCCTTGACAGACGTAAATCATATATATCACTAGGTAAAAAGGTCTCCTTGTCTGACTTGACTACTGGCAATCCATGAAACACTACAGAGTTACGATGACTCAATGCTTCAATAGCTAAAGAACAATTGAAACAATGACGGATCAGAAGTTATACACTAAAAACCTCATTTATAAATCTAAAAAAGTAAAATTCTCCAGTACAAAGATATATTTCTAAACCATTTAAATTCTGAAAACAATATAAAAACAATAACACAACACTGACAACACAATAAATCTTGTATTAATTCTGATAATAATTCCTCAGCTTTTATAAAGTTGCTCTGATTAATGACAATGTTTTCCACAAACCAGTTCTTCTCAACTTGCATGCACATGTGACTTGAGGAGAGGAGGACTGTGAAATGAATGTGGTAACTGCTAATGGCACACTGCCTGCAAACTCAACAGCTAGCTACCTAACTCCTGCATCCACAGTTACTGGCTGGGAGGGAATAGGTGCTCTTATACTATCTATCTGGGATAGATAGTAGTTACTCCAGAACCAAGGGCCAATACATGACTCTTCAATTTCCATACTGTTAGACTTTTTCCCAAACTGTGATATCATGCATACAACAAACAAGCAAGCAAAACCTTGATATTTAGTGTTAGTATAACATGTGTTCACATTCTACAGATGTTAAGTGGTACTACAAACCCAACAGAACCAAATATCAATTCTGCTTCTCTGGGCAAACTAAGTCTTTTAACCAGCATACAAGCAATTTCTTAATAAAGCCACAAGACCATTATTTAAAGAAATTGTTTCTTCTGGCTACATCCAAAGCAGTTACCAGAATGAAGAACAGAGATGAACAAAAACTGGAAAAAAAAACCCTATTACTTTTTCTTCAATGTGAAAAATCCTCGTTTTTTGTGTTCCTCTTTTTTCTCTCCTTCAGATTTGGCAGGGAGTGTCTGGGAGCGGGAAGGCCCAGCAGAGCTTTCTCTTTCTCCAATATTCACCTGGAGCTTTTGAAGCCATTCATTCATCTCATCCTATAGTAGAGACAATGGATAAAGGCCATTTTAAATTTAATATTCCAATTCCAAGTGTACAATACTTTCACATCAGTGCAAAACTACAACTTTGTTAATACAGTAGTTTTAATTGTTCATCCTTCTTTTAAAAGACCAAAATCCTTTGACAAACAAACATAATTTCACTACATACAGGAACTGGAAGATGAAATATGTTGTTGTAAGTACACAAATGTTAATATTTAATATACAAAATTGAGATTTCTTACAATTTAAGTCATAAAACCATAACAATTGTACATACATCAAAATACTTAGCATTCCTCAAATGTTAAGAAATGGTCTTCAAGAAGATCATAAATAATTTAAAGCAATATGATAAAATGTGTTGGTGTGAACTCCATGAACATTGTTATAGAAACTATGAGATGTGGGAATCACTATAAACTTGTATGCTTATCTGAATGTAAAAAACAAACAGGAAAGCTGAGAAATGGGAATGAATAAATATATCAAATAAATCTATTTGTGTTTATAACCATCATAATTTCACTGATTGCATATCTGAAAATCAGTATGGTCAGAATAATAACACTGTGAAGGTAATGTTACAAATACAATTCTTCACTTTTACTTTTGAAAAATATACAAACAAAAAAAATAAGTAGGTTAAGGTTAAAAAAAAAGATAAATACATACATCATCCTTAGCTTGGAACAAGTACTCTGCCCCACCAGGTAACCTGGAGAAAAGATATCCTGTTAATTAACATTATTTGTTATATTATAAACAGGGCCATACTGATTATTGTTGGCATCTTGTGTGAGATATAAAAATTTTGTAACTGTGCACAAAAGAAGCTAGTCTATTCTTGCCTTCAAAGATGCAAACTTGCTACACTCGCACTACCCTTGATATGATCCTGACCATAATTCAACAACAAGAAAAAAATATTTTTTTAAATGTATTTTCATATGATACAATGTTTATTCCTTCTTGAAAACAAATTATGCTTTCAGATATCTACTGTATGTGTTTGTGTGTGTTCATAGCATTCTCCTGTTACAAAAAAACATCATCAAACTAGTGCCTAATTTCATTATCCCGATTGAATAATCTACTGTGCTTTAATATTTTTTAATATAATAGTTTGGTCTAACAAACATTTGGATGTAATGTTGCTCCATTCCAATAACTACAAGTATAACTTTCAATATTTATATTTAGTTTACACATAACATTTCAAACTAAATACATATTTTGTTACTGTCATAAATTTATTACTTGATTATTACTCAGTTAGTTAGGAATTCATAGCCACACATATCCATACTAATTAATCTGTTACAAAATGATTCAATACAGTAAGAAATTTATAGCATTTAGTAATTTCAAATACCAACAACTATTAATAAATATATGCTACTGGATAAATATGATCACATGACCAATCACAGTTTTAAAAAAAATTTGGGATAATAATCCAAGGGGGTTGATTGATTACTCTAAATAGAAAATATATGTAGAAAGTATATCTCAAGGCAAAAACAAAATACCCTGAAAAAAAATGAAAGAAAAGATGATGTAGGAATGTACAATTTTAAGAAAATTGCCTGGTAGGAGGGAAACATCAAAAATTGTTAGTGGATTATTAACTTTAGTAGTTAACAAAAGAACAGTCAGGAATATATAGAGTAGTCTGCTCAAGCTGTTAGACCTACTAGCAGTTGTAACTGTGTGCTCCACAATAATAGGTTTGTGAAAGTTAACAAATTATTTATATGATTCCTTTATTGATTTTATAGAGAAGGATCATTGTTTCATTTTATCTATGGCTAAATCTTTACTGGGGTTTGTGGCTATGTATGCAGAAACCTGCTTAAGGATTTCTCAAGTGATTGCTGGGAGTTGAAAATGCAATGCAATTATAGAATTAATGTTTTACCAGTTATGAATATAAAGAGTGTTTCCTTTTTCCTCCTTAATATTCCAGTAATTGTTGAAAGTACATAGACTGTATATATACCCCATTTAATTAGAGGAAACTGGATAAATCCCATCAATACCTCTACTGGCCATCCCTATTGACTGATCTATATTTAACCAGCACTGGAGCTATGAAATCTATGTATCTTAAAAAAAAAGTTCTTCTTGACAGATCGTGAATCATTCCTAGTTGATTAAACCATATTTGACAGGTCCAAATGAAAAAGCCTAGGAAGAGTTAGAGGACAAACAAACACACTTCTCTCAAACTATAGTACGATGATGGTAGCATTAATTTAATTTGATATGTAGGAAAATAATCTTAAAATATATTTTCATGGAAAGGTAAAAAAACATAGTTAATAATAATAGTATTACATTTTTAGTAAAAGGCAGATGCACAAGTATATAAAGTCAGTAGGAGAAGAAAAAATACTTGTACTTACTTCAACCTAAAAACATGCTTCTTCTTTGTGTAATCAGTGGCAACTTCAGCTCCACCCCCTTCGAGATCAATTGGAGGTTCCCCATGAAAGTAGTTTTCTGGTTCCTGTTTATTATCAACATGAATAAAACAATATCTATCAAATATGCCTGTATATTTCTATACTAATTATAGATTAAATTTTTGACATTACATATTTTTTTGCAAATAATTATTAATAAAAGAGCAAACATATATAATCGGTTGTTGTATATTCAACAAAATGAGATGTAACTCTTATTATTTTTTGTATTTCTTTTACAGCATAAGGTTTAATTTTATATAAAGATTCTGGTGTGAAATTTTCAAGGAAACTTTCTTTAAAGTAAATAATTTCAAACTAACAGCATCATCCACAAATGGTATAGTACAGGATCCTACACAATTCATTTATGATCCATTTAAATTTGCTGTCACCATTTTCTGATTGATTTTACTAGATTAATATTCAGATTGCATTTCTGTAAGCTTAAAAAGTGTCTTCATGTGAATGAAAGTTGTAACTGTGCTTATTTCTACAAAAGTTAGGACAATATGATACTCTTTGGAGTACCATTATACACCATTTATTTATGTACATGTGTGTGTACTTATTATATATATATACACACACACACAGCTGGAAAGACCTTAAGACTAAAATAAGATATCTTAATCTAATTCACTGACCTGTTTAAAGTGTTTTTGGTCTTTATATGTAAATAATGATCTTCCTTGAAGCACCATGTAAATTTTTTCCCATGATCTGTTAAAATAAATTTAGTTTTTAGACAAAAACAGAAATGAAACCCTTTAGCTGATAACAGTCTAAATCTATGCATTAACAACATTCATATAAATACACTTAACTGACCTGTTTGAGGCTTTTTTTGTGGTTGATTCCCATTCATGTTTTCTAGCAAGCATTCCTTCAAACTGAACTCCCTCTTCAGCTGGACTCAAATGTTCTGAAACAAATGGTTTTACATTTTAGACATACACTCTTATGAAACATGGTGTTACTGGTTATTTTCCTTTCTACAGTTTTTGTAATGAACACTTGCTGGATATTAAAATAAAAACATTAAATATGTAACTCAATCCTTGCAGCTTTTTCTTAATCAACTTCACATGCTGAAAAAAATGTACCTTCAATAATGTACAAAATAATATTTTTTAAAATGGATAAAAACTTCCTCAGATAAAGCAATGCAGGGAAGTGTTAGTGGCATTACTTTTTCTGCTGGCATCAAATCAAACTTATTGGATATTAAATCTTTAAACTTAAAAGGTTTCTTATTTCTTACTCTTCTTATTTGATGTTTTCACTATTCTTACTGAAATATGTTGGCATTACTGTCTTTTTGTTTCTAAAGTGCAGTTTTGTTTATCTAACATTTATTGGATTCCTTAAAAGTTACATCTATATTTCTAACAACTTATAGGTCTTAAATAAGTTTATATGTTATTTATCACAATAAGTTTATGTTCAAACTTACAGATTGTTTTCACTAGAAAAATATAAAAATCATAACTACAAAACACCTGGCATGCAAGACTCAAATTTGTTTAATTATTAACTGTAGAATACTTTACTTTTACATTCTTTCACATGACTGTATCAATACAAAATTAAATCAGCTGGTAATTGTGAATGTAAAGGAAAACTCCAGCTATAAAATTTCCAAATAAATGGACAAGATATTTTGTATTAATGTTCACCATTACATTAAAAATGAGTCCCAGTGATAAATTAATGAAACTTAATCAATACACATGTTAACTGGTCTAACTGGTTTTAGCATGAACTTTAATGTTATCAGGTTATAATATTTAATGAAGTTAAATTTTATTCCACATTTCATTGCACTGCTTTGTTTACTTGTGGTCAAATGCTTTTCAAAATGAAAAAGGAGCTTTTACATTAATGAATAACCTTTCTTTAGATAGTAAGCTAAGAATACACAGGCAAGAATTAAATGACAAAAAATAAAACAAAGTTGCTTGCTATTAAGGCTTCAATAAATAAAAGGAACAAAGAATAACCAAACTAATATGCTTTAGTTATCACAGCCATTACCTAGTACCTATATTTACTTATATGTTAACATTTTCTTACAATGAAAATGCATATCTGATAAGTACTTATCTCCTCCTCTCACCCAAAGCTATCTTGATCTTGGACTGCTCTTTAAGCATTGCTAAAAAAATGTCACTACAGCACACCTGTCTTTTATACCCCATCAGTTTTGCACCATTTCAGAACATTTGCTGATCATGTGACTACTCTCCACCAATCATACTGCACCCTCTATACTAGTGCAGCTAGCTCCCTCTACTATTCTGGAATAATCCTCACTTCCGAAAGTTAGCAGGTACAAACCAGAAACACTGGCATATCAGTGGGGAGGAAGGGTGGGAAATGGGTGAGAGGAGGTAAGTACCTATCAGAAATACATTTTCAGTATAAGAAAATGTTAACTTCCCAAACAGTCTTACCTCCTCTCTCCCAAAGCTAGAATCCCATATTAAAAAGGTAGAGAAGCCAGTGAAGGTGCATCAATATCCAATCAAGCAGAAAGCAACTGCACTGAAAGAACAGGTGTGTAAGAATATGAAAAAGAAAGCACACCTGTTGGGTATAGCACTACTTCTAGAACAGGTGTGCTCTTTGCCCAGTAATTAACACAGTAACAAAAAGAGAGCAGAACTGAATTGGCAGGCACCAATGCATTCAGTAAAGAGATGTACAGCACTGAATCAGTGAAAAAGTGCTGTATAACCATGACTTGAAACAGCACAGCATCGAGAAACATGGAAAGTTTATTGTGGAAGCAACAATGGGTCTGTATAAGTATGTGCCAAAGGTAGTGCCTTGGATTACATCAGAGTATGTCAAGTGTGGTCTAACCAGGCAAAACATCCAGTGGAAATGCCTTGTATAAAATATTGAGATCAACAAGTGGGGTTTTCCTGGGCAAATAACATGTTATACTTTATTCACATATGTAGCAGGCCGTAGTACTGAACATAGTGATAGTGAGCCATATTGTGATGGCTAAGAAAAACGAAATAACTATACGTGGTTGGGGCTGAAGGACCATGAATTGTATATGAATAGGCCAAGTGTGCCCCCCAGGACAAAAAAAAAAAAAAAAAAACAATCCAGGGGAACTCCTTGGGATACATAATATTCATTAATTTGGCCAAGCGTAGTTCGTTCGAGCAAAAACATCCAGTGAAAACACCTTGCATAACATATAGAGATCAACAAGTGCGGTCCACCTGGGCAACACTCATGGGTAAGTGCTTTGGACACATAGGATAAGCCAAGTTACGCATGAAACGAAGACCCAATGAATGAAAATGATGGACAAAAGAGCGTACCACTCGACAAAACACACGAAACTGAAGAACGACCAAAACAGTAGCACCTGGAACTGGAAGACACAACTCTTTGGATGAACAGAAGAAAATGATGTGACACTGGAACAGTTGGAATATGAAGACAGGCATCAGTCACGATGATTTCATCATCCAGAGTCCTGGGGAAAATAAGCTCATTAAGTGAGAGGTAGGACTACATGGAGAATCGAGGTGGCTCCAGGTAAGAGTTCAATCAGGACTGTCTACGACGGGTCTTTAATCTCCTTTCTTTCGAGAGACAACAATTAGACAGGAGTAAAACCCCAGTTGAATGTCATGAAGTGTAACCAAAAAGACACAAAATACAGATACTTAGGAAAAGGACTTGTTGCTAATGAACTAAAAAAACCTAGAAATTTGTACAGTCTACAAAGTACATTATAATAATAAACCTGCAAAACTATGAAATTCGACCTAAGACATAAAACAATAAGCAACACTTAAAGTACAAAAGCACTAAAGGAACTTAAAAACACATAAATATCAAACTTATAAGTCCACTCAAAGAACAAAGACAAAGGACACGAAAGTGAAACCTAGCCTGAAGAACATGAGGCATCCAGTTAACAATAACAGAAATTTGACTCAAATCTAATCCCCTATTAGATGTGACTAGAAGTAAAGAAAAAGGAACTTACAAACTAACTAACATAAACAGTAAAAAGAAGTATAAATAATGAATCAACATACCAACAACACTGGCTGAAGTTACAATTACCTAAACAGTAACTATTGTGCAAAACCTGTACATATACCAAAAATTAAACAAAAAACAAAGTAATAATCAAATTCTAAATGCAACTTAGATGGTAAAAGAATTTAAAACATCTAACTTACCAAATACTGAGCAGAGTAGACATGAAAAACCTAAATTATTGTGTGAGGAAATTAATTCAATCCCCACAAGCTCACATAAACTTGCTAAACATGGGTATAACTACAGAGAGTGAGGAATACAGGTCTCATGGATAAAAGAACAATACCTAACCCAGGAGATTACATGAAGGTACAGTAACAGGTGGAAGGTGCAGAAGGAAATTTCCACTCAATAGTTATATCCTTCCTCTTGAAAAATTTAAACCAAAACAAAAGAAGTTGTTGGCTGAACGTAAGATACAAATTCCCCGTCAACTAAAACCTTACTTCCCCAGCAGGTAATGTCAACCCTGAGACCTGAGGACTCATGAAGACCATTGTTGACAGTTGCTAGAATTTCATCATCTGCCATATTAAATCTTAAATTCATATGAACAAATTAGAATTTGGAAAACAGAAATATTTCTAAAACAAACGAGTAGAAACAATGAAAAATCAAACACAAAAAGTCAAAACTTGAAGTTGAAACTGATATAAATTTGTGATCAAGCACAACTGAAATTTTGTTGTAACATGAAGTGTGAATTAAAACACACATCTACATTCTAGAATGCCAATCAATAAAATGAGGATTATTTTAGAATCATAGAGGGAACTGACTGTGCTAGTATAGAGGGCACAGTATGATTCGTGGAAGGTAGTCACATGATTACAAATGTTCTGAAAAGTCAAAAAACTGATGGGGTATAAAAGACAGGTGTGCTGTTAGTGAAAAATTTTAGTAATGCTTAGAAGGCAGTTCAGGATCGAGATAGCTTTGAGTAAGTAGAGGTAAGACTGTTTTGGAAGTATATATATGGACAACCAATAATATTAAGAGTCATATCTAGATAATTACATTGGTTTTATTGTAATTCCTAATTGATAGTCATATATAACCAACATATCTACTTTATAAGGTTCAGTCAACTCAACCTTCTTCTGGTTTATAAGATACCTACATCTCAGTTGGAATGACTTGCACCACCACCAAATTTACATGACACCTGCAACAAAGTCTGAATGTAAATCTAATGCTAGTAGTCAATTAAGTCAACTAAGCATCTTCTGGGTCTTCAAAAAAACTGCACTTGAGTCTGAATAACCATGTGATTTTATACCCATCTGTGGTTTTCAAGATACCTATACCTTTTTTGGGATAACCAGCATCAGTTTCATTCACAGATGAATTTTTCTTCTTCCTCCAACTACTAAAAGGAGATCTAGGAAGAGATCTTCGTTTTTTCTTTTCCTTCTCAGAAAATGGTGCTTTAAAAAATCATGCTTGTTAATTGCATCATGCAGGAAAAATATCATCAATAAAGAAAGGGTAGGTAGAATAGAAAGATAAAAAAAGGGACTTAAGCTTACCATGGTAGCTTCTTAGGATCAAATGAGTTAGGAAAACTATAGGTAAGTACATTAAAGATTTTAGATTCAATTTCTACCAAACTTTGTCACTGTTTTGAAATAACCTAAATAAGAAAATCACAGTTTACATTAGCTTGAAGAATAAATTAAACAGTCAAATTACCAAATACTAAATCTAATACAACCCTGGTCTACAAAAATATTACTTTAAAGAAAAACTGAAAGGTATTATTTAAGTACCAGTATGCCAGGGGTTGAAAATTTATTTCTTGTTTGGAGGAAATTATAACATTTGACTCTTAAAGACAGAGTTAGATAATGCATTGGGTACTTTGACTTCATCAAGTCCCAATAACTTTAAACCTCAAATTACTAGCTTATTTTTAAACCATTCATTAACCATTGGGTCCACATGTTGCATCATAATCAATAACTTTAGGTTGATGCCTATTATGACAGTCACTGTAAAGAACTGACCAAAATATTTGGGTGAAATACCTCATATGTTATGTAAAATATATAGGAAATTTCAATAATAATAAATGGGATTAATTGTAGTATTGATGACATTTTTGTTTATATTTTTTATGTTGTGGTTTGTTTTGTTATTTTTTGTGTTTGTGTATTAGAGACCCTATATCCAATTGCCTTTGGGCCCACATGTAATTTCTGTATAAATAGTTTAGAAAAATGGGCTTCAAACACAATTGAGCCCCATCAGTAGATAGTTCTAGGAATAACTGATTAAATTACAATTTTTTACCATTCAAATGAAAATAAAAACAGGCAATTTTATTTACACTAACTGTAATCACATTGTAACATTATTAAAAATGATTAGATACAGTATCTTCACAAAGAAATATTAAACTTTCGTCACATCCTGTACATTAAATTAGGTATAGAAAAATCAGTATATAACATTTGCTATGAAATAATTCAGTCCTATTATTATTAAGCTTTAACGTTTAACCTTTCTTTAAACAGGATTTGCCATAAAATTTATACACACTCCATTGCTAATGAAATGTGCACAAGGACTAATGTGTTTGGTTCAGTTTGATAAAATACAAATTTTAATTAACTATTATTGTTAACCACTTTATCCCAATACTGATCTATTTTTTTGTTTATTCCCTTAGTCATATACATGTAGTTTCTTAAACATATTTATTTTATCCCATTTACAATACAATTCCCACTATATTTCATTATCCTAATCTGCTTACCTTACAATGTTAATTCTTATTTTAGCGTTATCATTTTAACAGATATACTAAGTTAAAGAATGCAAGTTTGCTTCTCTCTATTAACACAAATTTTAAAAGAATCACACAGGTGGAATGAATTAGACAAAAAAATATATAAATTATAACATTTCTCTAAAAAAATTACTTACTACTTGGTGCTGATTGTGAACCTGTGATAACTTGTGGAAATGTCTCTGCCACAGCTGTATGGTACAGGGAACTCTCATTATAATTAAGTATATAATTAAAGTTAGTACAAAGGAAGCAAAACCCAGGCATACAGGCGTTTTTAAAGAAAGCCCATGCACAAGCAAAAGAAAATACACAGCTATAAAAGAAAAAGAGAAATAGAATAGGCTTACCTGAATCACTGATGCTTGGTACCAACTAATTAAGACCCACAACCAATAAGAATTTCACCAGAAGAAAGGTTTCCAAATAAATAATTCTAAAGCTAAACCAGAGATTAGTGATAATATACCTCCAACACCACATTTCCAAGCCCATAGAAAAGAAGAGTAAACCAAGGAAATTTCATCAGGTTGAACCAAGTATATTACATTAAGAGTGTGATATTGCTCACTTTTAATGGAGAATTAACTAGATTATGTATTTATAAAGCATGACAGTCATTACAACACAAAATATTATATGGTTACATACAAACATTATGTATATAAAAAAAGATAAGTATAATTTAATATAATAACAAAATTGATCAGTTTTCTGTCTGTGAAGTGGTATCCCTTCTTTTTCTTAATTATTAAGTTTATATTTTACACATTTTCCCCCCTCTATCACTCAGTTGTCTTTTAAATTTCAATATGAAAAATGCCAGCTTACTTCTGTTAGTTAATTTTAGTACACATTTTTGCAGAGATAAACTAGGTGACACTAAGGTATTACCTTACCATAATTTCAACCAAGAAGGTATATAAATCAATTTGTTACAACATGTAAACAAGTTCATCAGATATTCTGTCAACAGCCAATAGTAATCACATGTTGACTTGTAATCACATTATTTGGTAGAGAATAAAATGTATAAATGAAAAGAATCAAAGCTAGGTGTTTGAGCCATTATGGAGCTATATATTATGTGAAATACCTTGCTTAGGTTATTGCAAGTTAGAATTAGAGTATTGTATGTGTTGTTAAACAGCTTGTGATAACATCTGAATTTAGTTTTTTCTTCTTACTGGCCTGTTTTCCCAATGCTGCTTGTGCTAATATTATATTTCTTAGTCAAGGTTACTCTTTTTGGGTAAGTTAAAACTTCTGCATTTTCAGATGTATAATTAGTAAACAATTGGCCTGGTATGATTATTGGATTGTGAGTATATTCTGTTTGATGAAGGTTTTAATAAATAGTCATTAAGAATCCTGGTAGTAACAATTCAACTGTTCTTAGCCAGAATAAAAGATTTGTTACATGTTTTATATCAAATTGCTATGATTTTTAACAAGTTTTAGAAATAAACGACAAGCGTGATATAAAAAATGTTTTACAAAGTCATTTAGAATACTGATTTGTTCTAGCAGGTTTTCACTGTTATCTCCAACCTATTAATGAAATAAGAGATTTAATATCACCATGGTAAGTTACCACAGTTGTACTACATGTACTGAATAATTCTTCTGTTCACTTACAAAAATATTTTCATTACACTTCTAGTCCCAAGAAGTTAATAAAATGATTCATTAATACCACAACCCATGTGAATCACATATCTCAAAAGAAAAAACTGAATACAAGTTAAACCATTTTGTTTTGTTTGCTCCTATTTTAAGACACAACTTACCAACATATTCCAAATTCCAAGAAACAAAATGAGCACACAGGTGATAATTTCTTTTTATTTCATGTTTCATATTTATACACCCTAGGTATTAATGTGTGTGTGTGTGCACTACAAATGCTCAATTTATTCAAAAGCCTTTGAAATAAACATAAAATAATTAGCATAAACAATAACTAAAAAAAAAAATTACCTTCTGCTTTTGTCTCTACAACTGCTTCCTTCTCTCCAATAATTTCTTTCTCTTTTTCTTCCACGGGTGACACCTCAGCCTCTTCCCTGAAAACAAAATATTTTAAACATCATGAAACATGCACTGATCTCCTTTTACAGTTGAGATACATATTTTACACATAAAATACATTTATTTCATTATAGCTTCTTATGACCTCTGCAAAATATATTTTTTTTTACTACAGATATGACACACTAAACAAATTCATTATGGATTCTATATTCTTTTCTTTTTCTCACACAAGCGTAAGTGATTACTGATTCAATATCATCACAAATTGGTTTATTTTACATTATAGTAGAAGTTCATCTGTTACAAATGAACTATATATATGCCCAGTATCAGTAAATTTAGCATGCAGACCAACAGTCTAAATGATACTTTGATAATTCCTAATAACAGCTAAATACCTCTCAACTCAAAACAATGAGAAAATTATCAGTCATCCAAAATTAAAATCTAATTACTCAACACATTAATTCTGCCTTTTAAGCAGTTTTTTAAACAGTGTGTGTACTTTATGAACAGAATAATTTTTTTTTACATTGTATACACCAGTTATTCTTAACTGATGGGCTATGGGACTCGTAGTTTTGTGCCGCTGCAACTGTGACTGCCATAAACTAATGAGTCATCAACTGCATATGTAGGCCTTTACTACTGTGTGGACCTTGAGGTGCAAAAAGTTGAGAAACCCTGGAAATACTATATCCATGCTTAAAATCCTTCTTCTTAGTGACAACTGTTGTTCAAGTACATACTCTACTCTCCAGTTAAAATCACTGAAAAGTCAATTCTTAGACAGTAATCATGGTTAAGAATTTAAAAGCAATTAAATTATCATATTCTGATAAGCTTTACCTTTAGAAACACTGTCTTAACTAAGAAATACACGTACATACATACATACATACAGTATTAGAAATAATCATGGAAACAGTAAAGAAATAAAATATTATGGGTATGCTACCACTTTTGAATACAATGAGCACAAAACTGATTTTTTTCTAGCAGTTTTTCACTGTAATCTCCAATCTATTAATAATACCATGGTGTGTTCCTACAGTTGTACTAAGTGTAATGAATAATTATTGTGTTTGCATACAAAGATAATTCTGAAATATTTCCATAGCCCTACTAGTCCCAAGAGGTTAATAACAAATGTTTCATTAATATCAAAACCTATGTAAATCATATTTTTTAAAACAAAATGCAGAATACAAGTTAAATCACTTTGTTTCATTTCCTCATATTTCAAAGTACAATTTACAGTTGTAATCAGATTTACAAGAAACAGAATGAGAACACAGATGAAAATGGTGTTGATAGTTCACATTGTGACTGGTTTGAGTAAGTGCAACACCAGTATAAAACCCATAAAAGTAGAGGCAGTAATACGACATACAGTTGTATGAATTCAGTTATGTCTCACGGGAATGATATACCACATGAAGTCTATAGAAATCAAAGTATTGGCTGGTCAGGGATACTCCACATGAAAAATTGTGGCAAGACTCGATGTTTTAGAAGAAGCTGTATGCAAGACTCCAATGAGGATACATGAAACTGGTACCATTAATAATAGCAGTGGTTGAGGTAGAAATCCAAAACTTTCCTCAGGTGATTTTGAGTATTTCAGGATAAATTCTCTACAAAACAGATAATAGGCAAGTATAGATCTTACCAAGAACTTTGCTGTAAATACAATAAGATACACTTTAGTACAAAGTGATCTCGATGGATATGTAGCTGTTCAAAAACTACTGATAAGTGCCAAGCCTAAAAGTTGAAGTGGGCATTGGTCCACAGACAGTGTAATGAGTAAAGCTGACAACATGTGATCTTTATAGATGATTCCAAATTAAAAGTGTTCAGCAACAATTACTAAAAGTTCATTTGATGGTGGAGAGAAGAACAGTATCATAGCCAATGTACAACATTCACTGTGAAACATGGAGGGATGATTAATACAAGTATGAGGTTGTATCTCAGCCAACAGTGTTAGTGATCCACACAAAACTGATGGCACCTTTACTGTTGATAAGTAGATTCTGATCCATCATACAATATCCACAAGAACACAGTTTATCAGGCAGGAATTCATCATCATCCAGCAAAGCAATAATCCCAAGTAAACAGAAAATATATGGTTAAACAATGTTACAACAGTAAAGTGACATATGGAACACTCACAACCATAGTTTGGCCTGTACAAAAATCCCAATATGAACATTCTTGAGAGCTGTATGAACTTATATAACAGCTGAGAAAGTCAAAAGGGAATTGAACAACTTGGCTGAATTGTAAAAAGTAATACAGAACACATAATACAGGACATTTAAAACAATATGCCACAATTGTACATTGAAAAAGTGCATAGCAGCTTTAAAACATGCAATGTTCTGCGTAAATCACACACACACAAAATACCACTGCACTTTACAACTTATTTACTTTTCTTTTGCATTTTTTGTAGTAATGTTTTGTACCATTAATAAATTTGTTATCTCGTTGCCATGAATCATGTGCGTGTGTGTATGTATATATACATACTAGCTGAGTTACCCGCCATTGCACGGTGAAAATTTAGATTTGAAATGTATAGATCAGTATTTTTTTCGGCAAATTATTCAGTAAGTAGACAAAAGCTGTGATGCGAGAAATATAAAAGCATTTAATCAAACAAAGCTTTATTTGAAATTA